AGATTGCGCTGAGGACACTTTTTCGTCGGGAGTGACAAGTCGCCCCGGAGGTTAGGAGAAGTTGTGTTGTGCTAACGCCGAGGCCACGGGTTCGCGCGACTTGGGACTAGGGAACACGTTGTTGGAACGGGCGGCGGCGGCGAGAGGAAAGTACGCGTGTTTGTGGCGCAAGGGTCATTTGCTGAAGGTAGTGACTTATCGGCAGTATGCTATGTATGTTTCAATCACCAGAACAAGGCATCCTCATAGACTTCTGGGTGTGGCCAGAGGACCACGGTTCGAAAAAGGCCACATTGGCGACCACATAAGCATCAATCATGAACATCTCTAGCATTCCCGATCTCGGTAAACTACCAGAAACCCAGTCCGCAAGAGCCATCTGAAATACACAGGGTGTATGCCCCCACAGACCACCCACACCACGCGTATGCATCTGTACAAGTACAAGGAACCCATCCAAACCATATGTGCATTCTTTCATTCCAAAGCGTAAAAGTGGACTTTTCTCGTAACGTGGCTTTGAAACATGATCAGCCGACTGCTGTGAGACTCTACGCGTCTGCCTGGCGGTATAAAAACGTAGGCGTGACCCGTAGTTATATCTTCGCAATCCGGTACCACATTCCCTGCTCACATCGCCGGAGGCCACCTAGTTCTTAAGCCCAACCTTGTTAAGCAGACTGCCTGTCCGTCCAGCAACCATAGCCTTGTCGTCGAAAATCTTAAGCAGACTCTTCCACACCTGGCCAGGCTCTTGGCTCGCATCGACTGGCTTCCAGATACCCGTCTTCTGGTAGTATGCGACAACCGGCGCAGTCTGGGCATGGTATGTTGACAGGCGCTTCTTAAGCGTGTCCTCGTTGTCATCGGAGCGCTGGATGAGCGGCTCACCCGTTACGTCGTCCGTCATGGGCGCCTTGGGCGGGTTGAAAATCTTGTGGTAGGAGCGACCGGAGGCGGGGTGCACGAGGCGGCCGGTGATGCGCGAGACGAGGAGGCCGTCGTCGATTTGCAGTTCTACGGCGTGTTGGAGGGGCTTCTTGGTTATGCTGAGCATGCCGTCGAGCTTCTCGGCTTGGGTTACTGTGCGGGGGAAGCCGTCGAGGATGAATCTGGGGGTGGGGTTGTGTTAGCATATCTTTCAAACTGTGTAGGAGAGGGGACGCACCCCTTGGAGCACTCGGCGTTGTTCTCGAGCTCCGTCTTGATCATGTTGATCATGATCTCGTCGCTAACCAGACCACCCGCGTCCATGATCTTCTTTGCTTCCCGGCCGAGCGCAGTCTTTGCCGCGACTTGCGCGCGCAGCATGTCTCCGGTAGCCTGCAATCTGTCAGCCCCCAATCCCTTATCCCACTCGCTCTGAAAAACCTACAAGATGGCAAGCGCAGAACTTCTCCTTGATCTTGGGCGCTTGAGTACCCTTGCCTAACATGCCATGTAAGCAAAACCGCCTTTTTTACCCTCTCTCTCCAACCGGGAACAACATACCAGCACCGGGCGGGCCCATCAAGATCATCCTGACGCTCTCCGCAGACGCAGGCGCACCCCCATTCTGACCAGCGAGTCTCTTTTCCAGGTCAGCGATGCGCTTCTCAAGGCTGGTGACGGTGCTCTTGAGGTCATCGACCGACGCATCTGTTAAAGGTGCCATTGCGCCGAAGTTGTGAGGAAGATAAGTCCGGTGGGGAAGATAAAAGTGGGTGAGAAAAGTAGAGTACGACGAGCAGAGTAGGATGATGCGCGGGCCGCTGGGAGGGGATTAAGGACGGTTGCGCAATGGCAGTGGGCAAGGTCGCGTTGTGGATGAGGTGGAGCTCACGGTCGAGTTGCTTGCTCGGTTGTGCACGTCCCTGCTTTCAACTTCGGCTGCTGCGGCGGGAAAATGCGTCCCTTCTGCCCGATCCTCGGTCTCACCCTGCTATTGGCGCGGTGATGTCAGAGGAAAATGCGCCGCGGAATATGCTGGGCATTGTGTCAACGGTATATTCACCGTTGTAATGAGCTGTTCCTTGAGCTATGTGCACTACAGGACGGGCTCGTTTCTGAGGTCAGTGCATCACAAGCATTGAACAGGTGGGGTCACTGTAGTAATTTCGCACGGCTGCGCGCATAGCATAGGACGCAAGTATCTGCTCTGACCTGGATATCAGATAATCTTCACCATCGCGTTGAGCCTGGTCGCCTGCTCTGATGATGCCTCCTGCAAGGTTCTCGGATTAGTTTCATCTTCGTCATAATGGCCACTATGAAGCCCGATCCTCTCGAACTCGCCGTCGCCTTTTGTGCCATTCCACTCCCAAGCTGTCGAGTTTGCCTTCCTCAAAATCAACCAAATTCCATCACTGTTTCCATCCAACTTTCGGTTCCGATCAGACTTTCGGTTGAACAATTTCAGGAAGAACAACGGCGCACCATCGTGCACTTCGTGACCTACCTGCTTCAGGTTGCAGTCGACGTCGAAGGAATACACGGCTGCGTTGGCACCTTCAGGTGGCAGTGTTCTAATACGAAACCCGTTCTGGGTGTTGAAAATCGTCGCCTCTACCACGGTGCCAGATAGGATAACATATCCGCTTTCCAACTGGCCCGTGGGATCGTCGCCTTTAGGGCAACACACAACTTCCATAACAGTAGCTGATACGTCCAGGTCTTTCCATTCTGGATAATCCATACCAAACGACGGTTTCTTGTTGAACTGAACAGAAGCCCATGAAAACGTAGGTGCCCGCCATGGTACACATCGGGTCGGGAGATTATGACCAAATGAGTACCACGCGAGGCAGTATATCATCGTCTGTTTCCACATGCCTGCAAAGTAGTTCCATCCAGTAGCTTCTCCGAAGCTTTTGGCAATACCCGAGATTGCCGGGAAAATATCATCTGGTTTTGACAGTGCTAGCTGAGCATAATCCTTGGTGAGTTTCAACCACATGTCTGTAAGCTTGACATGGTCGTCTTTGGCTGAACTCCACTTGGCAGGATGGCACAAGCTCTTTGAACCCGGCCATAGGTTCTCATTTTGATGATATCTGACTTCAGTTCCCTGGCATTCGCAGTCTAGAAGCTCCATACACTCCCATATAAGCTCGTTATTTGCAAAATAAAGAACTCGGGGACTTAAGAGCCGCTCTTGGAAGACCCAGCCTCTCTCAAGAAGTGGCAGACCTTGCGTGCCGAGAATGAGCGAGTGTCTCGCGCGAATGTGTGGAAAGTTTGAGATAGGCCAGCCAACGAGTTCGGGGGCTGCGACTCGAAAGAGACCCTCGTGTGGACCCGAAGATGCAGAAGCCGCGAGTGTCACTGTAGAATTCGCGTAGATGTTGGCCATCTGTGCGGATTGGGCTTGCCAGTCCTTTTCGTCATCTTGGATGATCTAGTAACCATATTAGTGACCATACTAGATCATTGCAAACGTGGAAATGGATAGGAACTTCATACGCATAGTGAATCGATCCAGATAAAGCGCATGCCCAATTCGACGATGACTGTTATAGCATCCCGGAACGTTTTCGGTAGACTTTGCTCTTCAATACTCTTAAGATGAACTGACAAGGTATCCGGTTCTCGTGTTGTCTGTAAAGGGTACTGTCCGCCCCAGCAGTGGCTCAGACATGCATAGCGCTCTCTCTTGTTCCCGGTATCGACCAAGCGGATCATTCGAGGGGTATCCAAGCTGACTTCTATCACGCGGTCGGGTAATCTGGAGTAGCCTGCCTCGACGTGTGGTGAGCACAGGTTTTTATGAGCGGCCATACACGTATCAAGCCAGCCTCGGATAGTTTTGAAGCTCTCTCTCGATCCAGTATCACCTGAGATCACTCTTGACGGAGGTATGATAGGGTCGTCTGGAGCTGCACCATTGTTAGAGAAGCTCATCGTCAGCAATTCTTGCGGGCTTACCGTTCAGAGTGAAGAGCTCTCTGGTATAATAGTAAGAATAATTACTATCTACTCCGCGATACTTCACAAACAGCGAGTTTCTGAGCAATTCCACCTCCAAGTCATCTCTGTTGGCAAGCTCCGGTCTGACTTCGCATACAGCACTACAATAGCGGCATCCACATGCAGATGAATCTTTTAATGACGCACCCCGTGTGGGCATATATATGGGCCTGGAATATCGATCGCTATCTTGATGAAGAGCATGGACTGCACGGCACATGCTCATCTTGACGTGTTGGTCGACGCAGCATGTGAGTCGAAGGGGCGAACGGGTCCCAAGACCATGATTTATACCCCGCAGAGTGAGAAAACCATCCCGAGGTCGTAAGCGATTGTTGTACGAGGCTGCACCTCAGCATTGTGAGTTTGCGAAGGCTACGCGCATCCCCACAGCGTGGAAACTGTCGAGCTAAGGCATGTGCAAATCGACAGATAATCATTTCTCTTAATTATTATTATTTGTTTTTCATAAAAGTGACGCGTGGTACACACGTCGGTAGTCGCAGACTCATCATGGTATGTGGCGCTCGGCAGCGCACCAGGCGGTCCAGCCGCCCTCGAACATCGCAAGAGCAATGTTATAGTCTCAAACTGTAGACGTGCGGTTGCGAGCGCTGGTATAATCTCAATGGCTGTGTGATACCTTGCATCGCGCGATCACGGTCATTGCCCGGTGGGTGTGGTGATGCATTGGCCAAAGACCTCAGTCGCGCCTGTGATCCGTGCCCAAGTGGGTGATCGACGGCCGCCTTACCCATTACGGTAACGACGCGTTTGTCCCCTCCAGAACTTGGAATGCGCGAACCGCATCTTCATTTTACAACAACATTACTTTTGCCATTGCGCCAAGATCGTTCCAACCTGTTCATTCCGCTCAAAGACTTCGAGGACGCGTCGCACTCGTCACAACTTGGCTTTCACAACATGAGATAGAACTACAATGCCCAGACACCCGGGAGGGTTTATATACAGCGAAGCAACGACGAGATGATTAACTACCTTTCAATCATCATACTGACCTTTCAAGCGTCCCTTACTTAGAGACTAGGGAAAGTTCAACCCTGTGCGAAAAGGTCGACTTGCGCACCAAACTTCCCCGCATTGCTCAAGAACCTCCTCGCACTTTGTATGCGCAGTAGGAAAAAGTTCGTATGAGGCCGCTGTTCATCGTCAACATCAAGGCACATCTCGATGAACATCCGCAACTCAGACGAATAACCCTTATAACCCGCAAGGTAGTCCTGGGTCAAGTTGCCTGTTTCAGCAATGTTGCTTGAAGGGCTATCCGTCATACAATACATCAGCGACATGACCAGCCCAACTTGATACATATCCGTCGCTTCAGTCGCTTGCGCCCCTTCTGGAGGCCTGTACTGATCAGCCACGAGAGGAAGATCACGAAGGGTATAGTTGTAAGCTTCCATCTCGCTATTGGTGATGGCGCAGCCGAGATCTGCTAATTTGATGCTGATGGGATAGTCGCTTGGGATGACTTGCGTATCGCTCTTCAAAAAGATGTTGGATGGGATGATGTCGCGGTGGGTGATGGGATCCCAATTGTAGGCTGCCTCGTTGTAGGGATATGGTCCGTGATGCAGGTACTGGACGGCTGCTACGAGGGCTTCGAAGACTTGCCAGACGAAGCTTTCGGGAAGGAGCTCGCCATGTTCGTTCCATATTTTGATTAAATCGGCTAGAGTACCATGGTCGCAGTACTCTGTCACGATGTAGGGCGAGGCGTGACGTTCTGTGACAGGGCTAGGGAGATGCGCGTCGTAGAGGGTAATGATGTTGCGATGATGTAGGCGGCTCAGGATGTTCATCTCTCGGGCTTGAAAGCCCGGATACATGGCTTCTGAAGGTAAGACCTTCATGATGCGCATATCTTCTTGGAGATTATCGCGCACGAAGAGGATACCTTGATTGAAAGTCCCGTCAACACCTCCCAGTTCGGACTCGATAATCCATCGTCCACCGACGACTTTTCCAACAGCGAAAATATCGCGATTGCATGCTCGATTTGCTCGGTCTAGCAGCAAATTCTTGACAGTACGCTCATTCTCTGCCCGGTTCTCTGCCCAACTTCCAGATTCGTTATTCGACACAAGCTGTATGCAATGAGCCACACCTGGTGCATCGGCAGGATCAGAGGGCGATGTAGTTAGTTGGGTACGGTCCAGGAATCTAGTAATTACGTAGTTGGTGTTGTCTAGGATCTGGTAGACTCGCCTGAAGTAACGAAGGGTAAGCTGATCGGGTTTGTCGAGTTTGGGGTCTTCTTCGATCAGGTAGTCGGCAAGGCGTAGCATTGCCTCGCGGAAACTTTCCGTTTCATCTTCACATGTAAAGGTGCCGCTGTCGGCTCGGTTGCGACGCTTGAAAGTCTCCTCTGACATATCGTGGCTCGGGTTTACAGACATTTGGCGGGTAGTATCGAAGGGATTTCGATGTACCTTTCGGCGATGAAAACGAACCAGTTCAGCGCACGTGTGATGTTAAAGGCCTCCTCGCGAGGAATTAATGGTATCGACATTTCAGCAGCATCACGATCAAGGTATATACAGAGTGGACAGATACGCCGTGCACATACCTCTGAGTGCACTTTGTTTAAGGCATGCAGATGATTCATAGCGGCACAGTGTTGTGTACGCAAATCATGACCTGGTTCTCCACAATGTTATACGTTGTCGATACACGATGTGATACTCATTTGGAGCAGCACTTTATACCGCTCCGGTATGTGGTATTCCATAATCTACTTTTCTTCTCTCACTAGTTCGGCTTCAATTCAACAACTGACAAAGACATACGTCACGTAGCTCTGACGGCTTTCAACATGGCCTCGAAGAGTACAACTGAAACGACGAATGTCAGCGTGGCACCGCATTCAACACTCCAATCGCTCGAGGAGCTAGCAACGAAGGGTCTGAAATCTCCAGACCATTCCAACGAGTTTGAGCACTGGTGTATCTCAAAGGAGATTTCCTGGTTTTACCCTACTGATAAGGTTCCGTTCACAAGGTTTCTGAAAGAGAAGGATCTGAGGACTTGCTCCGCGGACCCAAAAGACTACCCAGGCTTCGTTCACGCATGGCGTCTGTTCCTCCGCTATTACAAAGTCAAGGACGGCAACATCTTACGAAGGTCGACGGTGAAAGACCTGAACATGCTAATCGATGTGCTGAATAGCATGTTTGCCTCCGAGTTAGCAGACGAGCGGTTCATACTCAATGGAAAGATTGACGACGGTAAAGCTGGTGAGGCATGGCGCATCGATCGCAAGCTACACGACGTTGAAGGTAGCTTCAATCGTGGCGTTTATCTAGTCCACAACGAGAACGACCCCAATAGATCCACAAAGATCATGAAGACTCTTCCCCTACCCACTGAATATCTCGGCTTCGCTGAGCGAGAGCTCGAGATTCTCGGGACTTTGCAGCACGACAACGTTATCAAGTTCTTCGATGGTAGCGCACCGAAGAGCCTACACGACACGGCATGGATGGTTACGGAGTACTGCAACAAAGGTACGTTGCTTGACTTTGTCGAATATTATGCCTTTGAGGCGGGAACCCCAGTCCCTGAGCTCTTCATTTGGAACATCTTAGAGAGTCTAGTACGGGCGGTTGTGTACCTGCACTATGGTCCGAATGTACTCGAAAAGATTGATCAGCAGGAGCCCGGAGATGAACGACTGAAAGTTGAAGAAGATGCCTCTTGGGATGCCGTGTATCACCGCGACATCATCCTGTCTAACGTATTTCTCACTTCCAGCACCCGAGACAAGACTGAATATCCGATCGTTAAGTTAGGCGACTTTGGCTGCGCCATGCGGCAATCAGAAGTTAAAATTATGGACGAAGATCCAGAGCCAAATCAAATACCGGGTATGGACGGTGCGTACGAGCCGCCGGAGGGTCAAAATGGCACCAAAGCCGTCGATGTGTATCAGATCGGACAACTAACATGGTGTGTTGTGCAGAACGTCCAATCCCCTACTTGTCTGGACGAGAAGGCAATGCTGCCTGAGAATTTCGAAACTTCAGAGGATGCACCTTACTCACGAGAGTTATGCCGCATCCTCTATTCCTGCACGAGGGCCTGCGCTGACTGCCGAATCGATTCTCTGCCTCTATTACGCCTGGTCCAGAATACGAAGAGGCGGTTGATCTCTGAGAACCGCTTACCATTTGTTGAGCTCCAGATACCGTTTGTTGAGCGTCTTTCGGAGTTGCTTGGTAGTTAGATATAATCTACTCAAATTTGTTGTAGACGTTCTATAAGCTGCGATCTGGCGGGCCCAGATCTTTGGAAGAGCGCATTGTGGTGGCCTTTTGAACCGGCTCTTGGTAGAAAATGCGGGGAAATGTGTCAGCTAGTGAATGCGTGAACCATCTTTCATATAGGGCTGGGTATAATCCGAGCAATCAAGAAAGCTCAAGCTTCGCGCCTCGCGTTCGAGATGTTGGGACCTGGAGACGAGTTTGGTCCTACTCCATTTTATCAAATGCCGACTCTCGTTAACGCTCTCTACCTTTGCGCAAAGTACTGTTGTATTACAAATATGCCTTGCTTGCCTTACTCCACCATTCCGCTGGCCAAGATCTGGGTTGGCCAATTCGGCGACGTGGGAGGACCGAACTAGCACCGAGCCTGAAATGGATTGCTTGGTAACATATGAATGATCGCAAGATGTCCCATTTTGGGATACAGTGTTCTCCAGGCCCCAAAGAACGCGCGTAGATGGGTAGATGCGCGTGCATCGGCGTTTCTTTCACGTAGATCAGGCGGGCCGCGTGGGTCCGCTCCCCAGACTCCTGCTACCGGCCCGTCGAAGGATTGCATGCCGCGAAATCCCGCATCCTCTGATCTGACGGATAGCGGATATCGGTGTAGTATCTGTTGTCGTACGTAGTCTTGCTGGGCTGCTATCATTTCTTGATATGTCATGATGATTGAAAGCATCTTACTTCGACGACCAAAGAGATAGTATCGAGTTGAAGAGGTAAGGTGATGAGCCAAGCTGCCCAGATATCTATATGTTTACATACCGCCTTGGTTTGCGGGACAAATGTGGAAGTGCGATCTTGGCTGTGGATAGACCGAAGTTACTCCAGCGAATTGATCTTGGATGGTGGCCTAAGGCAAGCGAACCGCTGTATGAGCGGGTGGAAGCTTCCTGCCCGTCTCTGATGCGCAGCGGTGAGGATTGAAGAAGTGCCCTGTGTCGTCGTCGGATCGTGGCTGGCGTCGCCATGAGTGGGTTCGTTGTTGACGATCGTAATTATAAGAAAGAGTGGTGAGAGCGTCTGGGCCGGGCTTGGAACATCTTCAGGGCTCCGATTCTGCCTGGCTTTGCTGATCATGGTACGTGTACATGGGTGTAACAAGTACCGGTAGTGTAAGGCCTGCCATCGCCAAGCGTTCAAACGTTCGTTGTTCATCAATCATCGCATGCGCGGCGACGAAAGTGTTACCCAAAGATGACGAACAATGATGGCTATACGCCTCATCCATCGATAGACAGCCTTTTAGCATGGAGTGGAGCGCCGGCCACTGGGGAGGAAACACTGGAATTAGAAGTTATACTCACGGATGCGATACCGTCTCGAACGTCAGCTTGCCACGAGCGGTCTTACCAAAGCAGGGCCAAGATACACTCTGCTCATTGGCGTGACTGGCCAAGGGCCATAACGCTGCGAGCAGCCCGCGTACTCTTGAGAGACGTGCCTTGTTGGTCCTCGGTGTATCACGATTCGTCGACCTGCGTCTGCCAACCACCATTTCGCCTCAGTCACTGGATGCCTAAAGACATCCGCAGTGACCTGTTGCGCTCAGGATGCGGTAACGTTTAGGCTTCCGAGGTTTAGCCACTTCGACCTGGCATAGCGACCCCGAGTAGAGAGCCCACTGTTGGGCGCCTGGAGAGGTTGATCGTAAGCTTCGCTCTTGTGCTGTGAACGCGTCTTGGAATGTCGATACTGTGCTTTTCCAGCATGGCATGTCGAGCCTGAATGGGGTATAAGTATCAGGCTGTTGTCCCTTCGAGAGCTCATCATCCAACAACGATCCTCAAACCTCAAGCAACTCACTCCCACTTCAACTTCTAACACTCCAACAGTGTGTCTTATCGATCTCCTGCTTTTGCTTCCAGCTGATCGTGCCTCCCAGTACTTCAAGATGCAGTTCAATCTTGCCTCCTTCATTGCCATTGCTGCCGCTCTCGCTCCCGCGGTCAGCGCCTTCTCGGTAACCGTAAGTCATATCCTGAAGCGAGTCTCCGCAAGGCGATATTCTCGTCATGAACACCCGCTGACTTGTATCTCTTCCTCCAGAACTGCGAGACCGGCCAGTACAAGAACTTCGGCGAGGGTGGTAACAACAAATGCCAGGGTTTCAACACTGGCAAGAGCGTTGCATTCGACAGCAACAAGGGCCTGTCTCTCCGTGTCTTCGCTTCGACCAACTGCCAGGCTGGTGACGAGATTTTCATTACCGAGCAGAACAAGTGCCAGGAGGTTCCTTTCACCGGGCTATCCGTGCTGGCGGAGTAAGGGCGATTGCATGCATCTTGGCAAGCAGCAAACGCTTTGAGCGTTTCGGGGAGCGAACGAATTTGGAGGCAATGCTATCCAACATAGCGTAGCCATCCACCGTGTGTCTTAGTTACCTACACTCGTCGCGCAGAATATAATCGTCCAAATCTTGATATTTCAAGATGCCATGGTCTATCAGTGATGCGTCTGTTGACGATGAGTACATGGGTATCATCTGGTGCTCTGTGGAGAGGCGAGGCGGTCGGTGGGCGGATCCCTTCATCCGTGCAGCGAGAAAGGCGATGCCGATTTTAGGCACGCTTCCGAAGTCTTTTGAATTGATCTCGGCAGTCGATGGATAGACGTGGCATTTGCCGAACGCATGGTGTTGGTGTCGGATGGGATCGTGCTCCGACCATGGCGTTCCTGACAGCTCATCGACACGTGATAGCACGCAACGGCAACATCGTCGGTCCGATTCGTCCGGTTCCTGAACGATTTGTAACGCGAGAATGACGCCACGCACGCCGCTGCTCCAGCGCGACATTTCAACCCCACAACCCTCTCTTCCACCATACAGCCTAACGCGATCTTCTGGCATCCCGCAAGAGGCGCGTCTAGATCACGGTGCTTTGCCTACATCTGCCGAGGTGTCGTAGCCGGGCCCTAGCCTATAGCGTATCTCTATGACGTGGCTATGGATCAATCTCGGACGAGTCCGTCATTGTTTGGCAACATACTCGTGGAACAGCTTAGAAATGCAAAACTGATGAAGCACTAACGAAACACTTATAGACCGCCATTGATCGCACGCCAAGTTCGCATCTCACTCACAACACACAACTTTCAAACATCAGTCTTATCACACTATACTTTCGTCTTTTTTGTTAGATACCCATTTACATTTCCGCAAACATGGCACCAAGAAGATATGAAGCCGAGAAGAAGGACCCTGCGCCTTTGGCAAAGCCTCTCGACTTTGCTTTCTCCAAGAAGACTGCCCAAAACCGATTCCTCAAGGGTGCTATGACCGAGCGTCTATCGTCATGGGATGCTCAGAATCTCGAAGCTCGTGGTGTTCCTTCCAAGAACCTCGTCAACGTCTACCGACGATGGGGCGAGGGCGAGTTCGGCGTCATCCTAACCGGTAACATCATGATCGAATACGACCACCTAGAGGCTGCTGGCAACCCCATTATTCCCCGTGGCTCAAAGTACGAGGGCGAGCGATTTGAGATGTTCAAGGAGCTTGCGACACAGTCAAAGAAGCATGGCTCTTTGATCGTCGGACAGGTCAGCCACCCAGGTCGCCAGGTAACCGAGAGCATCCAAAAGAACCCCATCTCCGCATCCGACGTACAATTAGAGGGCAACGTCATGGGCATGACCTTCGCCAAGCCACGCGCCGCTACCGACGAGGATATCAAGAACGTGATCGAGGGCTTCGCCCACGCAGCTGAGTACCTTGAGAAGGCCGGTTACGACGGTATCCAGCTTCACGGCGCCCACGGCTACCTGCTCGCACAATTCCTCGCCCCCAGCACCAACAAGCGTACCGACAAGTACGGTGGATCTCTCGAGAACCGCGCACGCATCATCACCGAGATCGGCCAGGAAATCCGCAAGCGCACATCTTCCAACTTCGTCCTTGGCATCAAGCTCAACTCCGTTGAGTTCCAAGACAAGGGTTTCGGTACCGAGGAGGCCGCAACCCTCTGCAAGTTGCTTGAGGACAACAGCTTCGACTTTGTCGAGCTGTCTGGTGGTACCTACGAGCAGCTTGCTTTCGGCCACAAGCGCGAGTCCACCAAGAAGCGTGAGGCTTTCTTCCTCGATTTCGCCGAGAAGATCACACCTTCGCTCTCCAAGACCAAGACCTACGTCACTGGTGGCTTCAAGAGCGCCGCCGCCATGGTCGACGCCCTCAACACCGTCGACGGTGTTGGTCTCGCTCGTCCGGTCACCCAGGAGCCCGAGCTTCCTCGCCAGATCATCAACGGCGAGGTTCACGCCGCGATCAACCAATTGACCGACGACAACGATTTCGGCATCACCAACGTTGCAGCAGGAACACAGATTAGGCAGCTGGGCAAGGACCAGCAGCCTATCGACCTGAGCGACGAGAAGAACTTTGAGGCTTTCCAGAAGGACATGGGTACCTGGGCTCAAGGCTTCTCCGACGACAAGACCGGAAGCAAGTACGGTTACGTCGACATTGAGAGCGCCAAGGCGATCCCATACGGCACCGCTGCCCCTGCTTCGTAGATATTTCGTATCAACAACATGTGTATATAGATGGAACGAATAGACACGAATTATACGACTGCATCGATCAGAACAACATCCCTCGTGCACCGTCTTGCCAACTATCCATTTCCTAGCAGCCCTCTCCTTCTTCCGGCGTAGCAGGCCTATCATGAAACTCGTCCTCACCAATCTCTCTAATAACCTCAATCCTCCACCTCTGCGTCTTAGCCCCCTCATTCTTCTCCCTCAACACAACCTGCCTCCTATTCTCTCCACCAACATCCATAACCTTCAACACCCCACTCGCTTCATTCCCAATCCACCATGTCCCATCGCCCCACTCGCCAATCCTCCAATCAAGCGCATGTGGCGTGTCGTCCGCCCGTCTCAACACCGCTTTCGACGTATCTTCTGCGTAGACATCGAGGAGTCGGTTTGGACCTAGCCACCATGTACGGAGCCGGTAGGAGTTGGGGGTTGAGGGTGAGGGTATGAAGGCCCAGTACTGGCCTGAGTAGTAGCCTTCGCGGGTCAATTTGAGGAGCCCGGTGCTGTTTTGGGTGCCGTGGTCGTTGACGATGTCGAGGGTGGGGTTGGAGGGGTTGGATACGTTGGTTATGCGGTGGAAGTGGGAGGGGGAGAGTGGGGGTTGCGGTGGGTTGGCCATTTGGAGTGGTTACGGTGGTTGATTATGTGAGGCGTTGGGTAATGATGGGAAATATGAAGCTATCGTGATGAAACTATTATGTGAGTTCAGCAGTGAGTTTCTTATACTTCTACCATCACGAAGGATTTATCTTTTTGTTGAATGAAGATGACACTTCAGTGTCGCCGGTCAACAGCCATGCCTTGTGGCGCATAGCACGAGACTGTCAAAACGGGTAGCTGGTCGACCTATCACGGCCGTGAAAACGTGGAAAACGGAGTTTCGATCGTAGGCCTGAATCCATGGTTCGGGCAGTGATGAATGAAACCAGGGCAATGCGTCGATCACTTGACCAGCTGACAGCCAGCCACCATGCAGGGCCGTTGTTAGCGACCCTATCGTAGTTAACGAAACGTTTTGTTGAGATATGTGTAAGTTTGGGCAGGTCACGGTTCGAAATTGTTGAGGTTACGAGGAGTGGGAATGAGGATGAGATGGAGATGAAGATGGTTGAGAGAACGATGTGACGTCACATCATTGTTTTACGCGTCATGCACGTCGCTGATACCACGATGTGGTATTCATCTTAGGGAGTCTGTGTCATTAATCCTCATGCCGAAAACGCAATTCAGGAAAGTACGGTACGAGAGATCAGCGTGCTCACGATGCCATAACATTAAGTGACGTATACAAACGTATCCAAACAGCGCGTCAACGCAGTAAGCTATACGTCTCCACCCTTGAACAGCTCCATCCTTTATTTCTTCTCACCTTGCGTTCTTTTGGCAACCCTCGCGCTCTTCCGCGTCCCGGTTGTCGGTAGGGCCTTTTGCTTCGCAGGTGTCTTAGCCGGCGCCTTCGCTGTAGGTGTCTTTGTAGGCGTCTTCTCAGTGCTCTCGGGTGGGCTTGGAGCCGCCGACCTTCGCGATTGGCCTTTGGTCGTTGCCTGAGGTGATGGCCTTGATCTCAGCGAAGAGGATTGCGCCGCAGCAGCCGGTGATGGGTTGTCGTGGCGGACAGCTGGTGAGGCGGCTGCAATAGGTCCTGCTGACGGGGAATATTTCGTGGCGTCTTCGAAGTGCACCCTATCTTCATCTTCTTCAACTTCCAGGTCGATCGATGTGAATCTGGATGGTATCTCACTTCGGCTGGGCTCAGGAGGTGCTTCTTGTCCTCCCGCCTCCACTCCTTCGGCGAGTTCCTTTTCTTCATTCTCACGCGCTTGTTCGCCCATCGGCGGTATACGCTTCTTAAACAGACGGCGCTCCTCCCTCTCACCCTCCAGCTGTTTGTTAAGCTTGCGTGTCTCCGCAACGCGATATTGTTTGGCGTCTACCGCAGGGCTCACATGTGGAGATATGCCCTCTCGTATGGGGGAAAGATGTTGCCCTGGAACTTCACCTTGGGTCGTCGCAGCCATCGCACTGGGCGGCTGGCGTAACGAAACGGTATTGCGCGGCTTTACGGCTCTTTTCTGGGCATCTGAAACGCGTGCCTTCTCGCGACGCTCACGAATGTCGTTGCCGGTGATGCGCGGTCGAGGTGATTCTTGCACTGGTGAGGTGCCGTCTCTAGAGGCAAGAGAAGTGTAAAGGTCATGAATATCTTCATCCATATCACCTCTATTCCTGCGTGCAGTCTTCGGCCGTGGCGTGTCGACTTGTACATCTATAGAACCTTGGGCACGGCGAGGTGTAGGATTAGATGGACGGAGAATGGGCGTTTCATCTTCACCAGAAGGAATATCTTCACTAGAAAGGTCTATGGGGCCCAGGCGTTGTGGCGAAGGCGTATCGTCGCTACTGAAAGGACCGTTTCGACCGCGACGGGGAGTCGGATTTGACGGCCGTGCTGGCGGTGACGATGAGTATTCATCCACGGAACCTAGACTAGAAGGATTTCCGCGACTCCTTCCACTCTGTGCCGATGACGGTAACCTTAGAAGGCCAAAATCAAGATCGATATCCGACGATGTGAGCGGCGGTCGCTCTCGTCCTGGGCTTAGATGCGATGCTGTCGGATTGTAACCGAGCATACCCATATCCAGCTCATCAACTTGTTGCACTTTGTCCTGATTAACGGGACTTTCCTCGGGCTGACCTGCAGAAGATGGCGACTGTACGGTGGTTTGCGGTACGTCGCCCGCAATGTCGGGTTCGGAAATATGCTCCTCTTCAACGACACGACCTCGTGAGGAATCCGCATCCTCTCCATCCGCAGCATCATCCAATCTCCTTCTTACTCTCCTCTCATCCTCTAAATCTCTCACATTCGCATTGTATTCAGCCTCAAGTTGACGCTGGGCCCTCTTCGCAGTAGTCACGCCCTCCGATTGCGTCAGATGGATACCAATCATTCGACTGACCTCATAGTCAATCTCCTCGTAAAACTCCTCTGGTGTCTTTATAAGTTCTTCTAGATTCGGCATCTTCTGCAGTGTGCGGACAACGTGGAAGACGGCTAGCCGGATTCTTTTGCGGTTATATTTGTTACGCTGGAAATACCAAAATATGCTCGTTGCTGCAGCTGCGCCTCCTGTGATTGCCAGTAAAATATCGCCGTATCGCTGAAGAAACGATGGGAGCGTGGTTTCGCCAAAGAAGTATTGGGTCAGTGTCTTTGCGACCACATATGGCGGGGGTGTTGGACGAGGCATGTGAACTTGTCCAGGTAGCAACATAGTCGTAGTGTCTGTGACTATTGTGGACTTGGGTAATCGCGCGGCGCGCAAGGTCTGTGACGCCAAAGTGTAGTATCGCCTTCCAGCTGCCATTTGGACTACTTTCACTTTGAAGGTGGGAGCAAACAGTGGATTTGGATAGACTACGCAGGTCCCATTTCGTTGTTCAGAGGAGAAAAGCTCTTCAAACAAGAAGGCTCTCGGTCTTTGTATAAGCGACGAAGATGTACTCGTGGCGTCGTTGTTCAAGCTGAAAAGACAATGAACAAAGGACGTAATGATTCGAACAGTGTCGAAAGACCGCGTGCATTCGATGCGGATGGCGATGCTGAGTTTCTATATGGTCAAAATAGCGGTTCGGTCGAAGCAGCCACTTTGAGCATATAGAAGCTCAATCTCGCCATCTGCACCGAACAAACGCGTCGGCGATGGCGGCGTGAAGTGCGTAGTAGTTGCGTGCGAACAAAAAGGCCCACTAGACCCATTCGCTAATAACACCAACGGTATGCGGAAGCCAGCCCACCAAAGATGGGAAGTTGTTCGGCTTCATCTTCTGGGGTAATTAAGCCTCAGGACCGCGGACGGTAGATTGCGAAAGCGTTGACGGTCAGTCTGCGGGATGTCAGCTGTGAACCGTCACTAGATAGGACGTATCGTCTTACCAATCCCTAATCTCTCCACACCTCACCATATTCACTCATCCGTATTATCCATCTCTTCCCATCTCCATCTCCCCGTGCTCCTCTTACTCCATCATCCTAAAACCCCTTAACCCTCCCCACCCCCGTCAGCGGAACCCCAACACCCCTCTCCCTGCCACCCTGCCCCCTCTCTTGACTCGACGGTCCCCCAAGCCCAATATCGCGCCCATATCCCGAGCCACCGCCATAAAGCTCGCGACTATCCCAGTCTCGTCCTTTAAACGGCCTCGCATGACCGGACTGTTTAAGCCATTTCGCGAGCAAGACACCGACGGTCGCCCAGGCGGCGGCGATGAGGAGGGCGAAGATGACGAAGTACATCGTGTGAGGAGTAGACGGCGACCGGAATGAGGACCTCGGGATGGTTGGTGTCTTGGTATCGATGGCGAGGCGGCGATCGGGGTAGACGGGTAGTTTGTGCCGGACGGTTGGAACAAGAGGTAGGAGAAAGCTTCACGATCAAAGCATACTTAGGTAAAGTAAAGAGGAAGGAAAATGGGATACCAACGCAAAAGCGGAGGTCATCGGCTGCACCTACTGGCGGCAGCGCTAAAAGTTGGGGTAAAGATGGGGTAAACAAAGCTTATGGCTTCCTCCTATCCGAAGGCATGGATCGACATTACGGTCTTCCTGGGTGCGCCATTGGCTGCGTGAGACGATATAAATCTCAAGACCCGAAACCACCAAATCTAGGTGTTACGATATTGACATGTAAAGACGTGATAATGCAATATAAGAAGCGGAATGAGGATACGTACGACCTCTCCAATCTACAGTTACAAATGCGCAATCAAAAGGGTATACACGCACATCGACTGCCCTCCCGCTCGCTGCACAGCAATCAAGCTCCACTACTTCCACTTCCCTCAGCACGCTCCTCCTTCTCTACCTCCTTCGTCCTCTTAAACCTCTCCTCCGCAGCCTTCGCAAGCACCTCCCTCCTACTCAACCCACCCATCGCACCACTACTGCTATCACTACTCCCACCCATCTTGCCCTCCCCACCAGCACCCCCCAGCGTAAACTCACCCCCAGTCCACCCCCCATGATCATGCAGCTCCTCGGCCCCCTCATCCCCTGGATTATAAAACTCGTCGTTCCCCACACTCCTCCCTCCACTCTTCCAATCATCCCTCGCAACCTCCCGTTCAATCTGCTTGCACAAGTTCCAGAAGTTGCGGTCGTGAGGGCCCCAGACATTATGCGCCAGCTCATGGCACAGCGTGTTCCTTATCGTCTTGTAGTCGCGATACCCGTCGTAGGCATCTGTGCGGAGTCGTAACTCGATAACTTCACCCTGGTTCCGATTCAGCCCCAGTGTCCGACTCTCCATTGTAGTATGCATGGCTGGATCCATCTCCGTGAGCAGCGGCACACTAAACTTGTGCGTGCGCATTGCTGCTTTGATCCCCGCGTCGTCTCGAAGCCGTTGGAGGAATCGCAACGAACGATCTGGATTCGGTAGGTACGGCAGCGGTCGTAGCGTATGGAACGTGTATTGCGCCTCCTCTTGTATCTTCTTGTAATCGCGGTTGCGCGCTGGCAGGGCGGCTTTGATGGGACCGGGGCGCCGGGGCGCTGAGGCGGCGGATATGGTGTTGTTGAGGGAGGAGACGGCTTCGGTTGTGCTGCCCATGAGAGTAATTTTCTTGCCGACGAGCTCGGTGAGTTGTAACGAGGCGTTCTTAAAGGGTGGTTTTTGGAGCCCAATCTTCCCGCCTATGAGGAACTTTTGGTTCGACGGCGGTATTGACAGGTCGTTTGCGACGCGTTCGGAGAGGTCGGAGATTGTGGCATCTTGGGCGAAGGATAGTGTGATTGCTTTGCCGTGGTGGGTGAGTGTTATTTCGATGTCGGAGCTGACGGGCGGAGGCGCAGATGTGGTGTCGGCTTCTGTCATCGTGACAGCGTTGTAGATGGTGGCGAGAGGGTGTCGAGTCGGTGTAGAGGGTTGGATGAATCCTAGGCGCGATCTAGTATACGAAGTAAGTGATGAGGTTAGTGATGATTAAGATATAAAGCTTCGCAGCATGTGGCCGAGCTCTAGCCATGCGTTGTTTCGGTGACGTTCTGCAAGGCTTCCACGAGATGACGGGGTCGCCATCGGAATTTGTCATCACCAAACTCCGATGCTCAGCCATGCTGTTGACTATTCACCACCATCGCCATCGGGCCGTTGAGCACACTCGCAGATCTTGGTAACCAGGGAATCTCACCTGGGCACTCGCTTGTTCCCGTGCTCACTGATCAATAATCGTTACATCTGCTACTTTAATTCAACGTCGCCGGGTATCAATAAAGCGTGTACTAGAAACATACGCTGGCAATGCCTGGGCTATAACCCAGTATAAGCCATCGACACCACCTGCATTACGGCCAGCTGGAATACTAATCCAGTTTTGACTCTTCCTCCACCTTCTTCTGCTCCTCTTCTTCTTTCTTCTTGCGCTCTTCTGCCTCCTTGGCTAGCGTCTCCTCATTCTTGACCCATTCTTTGACATCAGGATCCCATCGGTGTCTACGCGTCGTTAGTTATGACTTGTCCATGCATGAAAGTGATTCCGCTTACCCATGGAAGTTCGTCTCTATCAGGGCCTTCTCCTTGTACTCGTCCACGAGTATCTTGTCGTAGTTGTACGGCACCTTCGCCGGGACGCCCTCGAACATGGTCTCCCGCATGGGATACAGCTCCGATGTGTCGTACCGGTGGTAGTTCTTGCAAACCCACTGCCCGGGGTTCTTGTCTGGATGTGTCTCGCTCAACCCAGTTATGTCGATGAACAGGCCGTTGCGCAGGTCGATCCATCGCGCATCAATAATGTTCATGCCGTCGCCACGCTCGCGCTCCCAGATCCACGGGTTGACGTCGAGGAGGTATTCGCGCTGAACGGCGCCGTCGTAGGAAGTGTAGTGGTATCTCGTCTGGTTGTGTACTGCGCCGAGGTGTTGGAGTGTGCTGTCAGACACCTGAGTGTCGAGATCGAAGTCCCATGGAAGACGCTGCAGAGGCGTTAGCACGTATCGCAAACAGCTGGAAGCAAGACTCACCTTTCCATTCCACCACCAGCCGAGCAATGTCCCGTGTGCTATCCAGGTATCGAGTTCGTTTTCGCGGAAGAAGTTTAGGTAGGCGCGGACCATGTGCGATTGCGTATCCGTTCGCTCCTCGTCGGAGACGATGCCCTTGAAAAAGCGCTTGTCATAGTGGCCGAGCGTAATACTGCCTCTGGAGGGGGTGTCAGCGAACATGCTACAGGCTGCAATGACATCGCGAGTTGCAAGGCTATGACGACTTACCCGGGCTCATGAAAGTACTTGGTATCAGGCTTCTTCTTACCTTTCCTGCTTTCAATACGATCGGCCAAGTTGTCTCCTCCTTGATGTCTGTTGAGTGGCGTCGGTGTGGCTAGTGAAGAGGCGAAGAGTGTCGCGGTTGCAAAGGCGGCAGCGCATTTCAGTAACCGCATGGCTGAGGCGAGGACTCCACTTCAGGCTTCCAATCCAGATAGGTATACCGTCTCAACGAGAACGAGACGAAAGGGCGCCAACAGTAACGAACACTTGCCGTATGATGTTATTATGATCGTCCAAAACTCCAAGGTACTCCGAGTAGAACCGAGCAAAGGTAAGCGCAGCGTTTTGGGAAGGTGATCGCGTGCTCAGAGTTCAGCGATCGACAGCCGTGGGGCAGGGAAGGCGCGTATAACGTCAGTGAAGAAGAAGCAACCGCAGGCGGGACAGAGAAGATAAGAGAAGCGCAATGGGGGCCAACCATGGGGTCACAGCGTGCGGGAGGGGAGTCAAAAGGCTTCATGACGCGCACGCGACAGGTTGCCAGCCTGAGCCTGTGCCTGGTGCCACCCACTTGCTCCTCCACAGTAGCCTTGTGCTACGTAAACTCATTCGCGCTCCCATTCCCCTTGCTGGTTACAGGTGTGCCGCTTTTCCGGGGTATCATGGGTATCTGGCGAGCTTGACAGGAGACGTCGTCCAATGACACGCGGCGTTGCGTGGTTAAGCTTTCCAAGTTTTGGCTTTGGGCGGGTTTCGGATGGCGGCTGCAGTTTGCCGGCCGTTGTCGCCGTTGGTATGGCGTGGCGGCGGCAGCTGTGGCTGGTGAGTCCTTGCGCCGAACAAATTAGATGGTCTGACGTCTCCATTTCGCGAAGATCCTTCGTCACTGTCCTTCTTGAGAACTGAAGCCGTCGTGCAGGACCTACGTATGCCAATAATGAAGTCGCATGCGCAGTTACTGGAAGCGGGAAAGTATTTTTCGCTAGGCGCATTTACACAGGTGGCCTCGTCAGCATATGCGCTTTAAATACGAATGTACGAATCCTGCGCGAACTACCTGCAGACATGGATAAACATAGTTCCCTAGGCTCGTACATTGTTCCACCAACGCGTACATGTTTGACGCCACAGTTTCGTAGGCGCGTACAATCTCCCCAGGTGCGAGGATGCATGGTCCGGAAATACGGTTCGCCAATCTGCTTTACCCCGAAATGCAAGGCTGCGGTACGATGTAAATTGAGATGACACACGGGCCATCCTGTATGACTATAATAGCAGACTGTGCCGCTCCAACTAGGCTATGGTTGTACTTCCATCGTTATACTCACAGTCACTTGCAGCATGGTTCAGCGCACGATGACAGACTATGCACGCATGTATAGTATTACATTTCCAGACTTTTCGCTATGCCTACAGCAACTCGCTGACCCTTGAGCAAACGCTGGACCCATTCGAACCTTTGTACGCCGTGAGATTGTATAATATTCGTCTATGAGACGTCCATCGCTTCCGCGCCGTTGGGGATCGCAAAGGAGACGGCGCCCGCATCGCCGATCAAACGCTGTTCCGAGTCGGAGACGAACTATTCGTGGTATTAGCAAGGTCTGATAGGTCGTAGTATGAGGACTGACCTTGACACTTCTTGTGGGGTCGTAGAAGAGCGCAAAGCTTCGCTGCACGTCTTCGATGGTGACCTCTGGACCGTTCCTCTTCTTGCGTATCAAGTCGGACGTCGTGATGAGGTTGCTCGCGTATCGCAACCCAGTTTCCTGGCCAATCTTTGTGAGCAGCGCCAGAGCATCCGGAGACACATCGACCTCCTCCTCTTGCGCTCGTATCGAAATGATCTGCTGCATCTCCTCCGCGTTGTATGCGTGGGTGCTGACAATGACCACACGATCTAAGAAGTCGAGCGGCAGTCCGTGCGGTGACCTGTAGTCTGTTCCCCGTATCTGTGTGTTTCCTCTGTTGCTAGCCATGATGACAATCGGTGCCAGCTCGTCCTCAAGCGCGCGGTTGACAAACGAGAAGCATTCAATGTCGAGCATGTGGACCTCGTCGATGAACAGCACACCCGGCACGATGGTGGCCTTGCCCTCCTCTTTCCACTCTGCGACCTTGGTGTTGATCTGGTCTCGCACCTCGCTGCGGATCTCGCCTGTGTCACCAGAGAAGAGCGCTAGAAAGCCCTGGGTCCGCGAGTTGATCACATCAATCTCGTGCAAGCTGACCGTGTGTACCACCTCGCGCCGTTGTTGCAGCTCGCCTTCGGGGCACTGTACGAATTTGGTGTCGATGCCCATTGCGTCGTAGTCTCGGGAGCGCGTGTACGAGCGGCCGAGCTTGGTGATCTTGCCCGAGGCCTTGTCGATGGAGATGATGTCGCCGGCCATGACCTTTTCCTTGGTCATTGCGTCGATCATCTTGGTGCCCATGTCGTAGACGGTCTCCATGTCGGTCGTCTTGATGGTGAGTTTACCCTGCTTGTTACTCTACTCACAGTCAGTATCGCTCCGTTGCGCAGCCGACCTCGTACTCACGCCTGTGACGCTGCGGTCAATCTGTATCTCGACCACCTCGCCCTCAATGACCTCGCTCTCCTCTGTTATCCGCACGCCAATCGACTTCCGGAAGGCCTGTGTGAGCGCCTCGGTCTTGGACATCTCCAGTGAGAAGATCTCGGACGAGGCGAGCATGGTGAAGGGCACGTCGGGGCCCAGCGACTGCGCCATTCCCATTGCGATGGCCGTCTTTCCTGTGCTGGGCGGGCCTGCAATCAGGACTGCGCGACCGGCAATCTTGCCATCTCGTGCCATCTTGAGTATCACGGCTGCCGCCTTACGCGCCTTCTCCTGGCCGACGAGGCCCTGCGACGACACCTTGGGCTCGAGCGTGTCATCATCGACGCCGAGACCGCGAATGTGAGAATGCGCCGCAATGAGATTCAGGCCGCGGAGCTCCTTGCTCTCGGCGATGGTGGTGATGGGCTACGCATTGTCAGTCAGGTGACTCCAGATCACGTTCTTCACTTACCATGGCCATGATGATGTGCGGTGTGGTAATTTAGGCGGCGGTATGCGACAGCGACATTTCGCGGACGCGCAGAGGAAGCTCCAGTTAAGACGCACGGGCCCGCTTATCGGCCGTTTGCTATTTAGTTCCATTGGGCGCGTCGACGCGACTGCCCCCTCGACCCTTGGAACGACCGCCTCCCCGACCTATCACTTGCCAGCTGGCCGTAATCCCCAAGGCAGCTAGCAAATTCCCTGCGCACTATTTAAACTCTCGAATTTTCTTTCTTTATCCTGTTTCTCCTTTTCCTCAATCCATCGCGCTGCTCCTGCCCTCAATCTCATTGGTTGCGTGCAGTAGCGGCGACCGCGCTCGACCCTCTCACCTCACCTCGTACACCGCGAGATGTCTGGCCGGCCCCAAGTTCCCAACATCTCAACAAGTGTTGGCAATCGCGCCTTCACTGACAGGTATGTTGTCCCCTGCCCCTCACTCCCATCCGTCTACGCAGTCTTGCCACTGCCCCTCACACCTGCGGTCCGTCAATCTAGCTCAGAAGACAAAAAGCAAGCACTTGAGCTGGCTACATTCATTACCCCACCAAGAGTGCACTCCGCATAGCGCGTTGAAATCACAGAAATCAGGCTCTCGCCGTCTTATCTCCTGCGCTTGCTATCTGAGACACGCTACGATGAAACTCGCGTTCTCTCAGTTGCACTCAAAATACTAAGATAGTCCTGGAGGCATTTGTTACTCCTGTCTTAAAGCTGCAACACTCACTGTCTCTAACTCCAGGACATATTTTGGTATTCGGAGGACAATGTAGCAACACGAACTTCATCGTAGGGGGACCGTGCAGAGGCACCTTCACCTGCCAAGACCCCAGTCCGGTATAGTGTATATACTAACATATGGTATAGTCCACGTACTCAAACCCCAACTGCATACTCGCCCGCGCTCAGCGATTCAATGAGCTCGCGCGTTTGGAAACGTCCGCTGGAGCCTCAAGCCCGTGGCGAGAGCCCTCCAGACAAGCGAAGTCGTCCGCCAGACTCGCGGTCGGCGTTACAAGATAGGGTCAGATACAATTCCCTTCCTCCAATAGTGTTTGCTGACATAGAATAGTACGCCAACTCAGCAGTCTCCAGGATCCCGAGCCCTCCAGCATCTAGAAAGAACTCTTTTGCTGGATTAATCAATGTACCTACCGGCCCGAGACTAGCTTCTGACTACCGCAGGCCGCGTCAGAATGTGCGAGTTCTTTCACCCAGTAGTTTAAGCAGTGGAGCATCGACGCCTACGCATCATGCCCCTCCTGCACCTTCGATGCTGCCAACACCAGATCCAAGTGTCCTTCACCAACAGGATGTGACTAGTGCCCCCACGAGCAATACCCCCTTCACCATGCACTCTTTACGCAAGCTGAAAGATAGGAAGAGAGCTCTTGCGCAGCAGACTACCATCACTGTCAGCACGTCCGTTGACGTTAAGCTCAAGACTCAGGCATTGGACATTGCGAACCTTAAGAAGGAGCGTGATGATATCAAGAGGGAGCTACTTGAACTTAACAAGACGCGAGAGGAGGAGCATAATGGTCTCACGAACCGGCTGGTGCAGGTGGAGGGATTGTCTACACGCGTTGATAGCCTCACGAACAAAACAGAGACCCTCAACATTGTCAATGCAGCCGCCAAGCCTTTAGCAACACGATTAGAAGCACTAGAGGTTTCGGCTGCCGAACTTCCAAGCTTACGGCAGGAGTTGCAGGACCTGAAAACTGTGCCAGAACGCCTAGCTGTAGTAGAGAGTAAGCGAACTACTCATCAAGCGGGACCACAGCCGAACGGTTCTGAAAACCTAGGGAATTCGCAGTTGAAGCCGCTATCCGACAGGCTCGATGGGCTTAGAACTACCTCTTCACAGCAGGCGAATCTTATTACGGAGCTGAAGATGGCGACAGCACTACAGAAGACTGAGATTGAAAGTCTGAAGACGTGGAAAAACGCGCAGCCTACACCACTATCCGAACACACTGTCAGAGAGCTTATCACGGCCGAGACCAGAGCAACAGCCAAGAACCTAAACGACAAAATCAAGGATGTGAACAGCCGGCTCTCCGAACGCATCACCAACCACCAGGACTTGATTCTCGCCTTTCAAACTTTCAAAGAGACCGTTGAGAGTAAAAACTTCTCTGAACAACTCAACGCTTTGAGCGACAAGATCAAAGAAGTTGAGGGAAATGGCGACAGGACGTACGCAAAGGCCAACCGTCTGCAGACGAGAATAGAGGACCTAGAAGACGAACTCCACCCAGACAGTATCGACAGTTTGAAGGAAGTGGTAGAGAAGGTCGAGAAGCTTAGAAGCAGAGTGGATAAATACCGTGATGCGCTCGGCGAAGACAGAGAGGAAGTCGAGAATGTGCGAGCGGGCCTGAAGGACCTCCGGGAAGAATCAAGGGGCCTGAAGGAAAAGACAAAGAGTACACAAAAGGATCTCAGCAGCCTCCAAGGAGAATTCGACGATCTTGAGAAAGACATCCTTGAGTACATTGGACCTATCAAGGGGGACTACGAGAAGACAAACTTTACCCTGTCGCAAAGGATCGCGAACCTGCAGGGCACTGTAACCCAAGCCGAGTTGGGAAGGCTCCCTGCTCGCCTCAGTGAGCTGGATAAATCTGCACGTATGTCAGAAAAGCTTCTGGGTCGCGTCGATGAACTGGAAAAAGCTCCACGGGGTCCTCACTTTAAGAAGGTCGGAACAACTGTTGCGACTTATTCTCCTGCTCCAATCACCCCACCTGTGACCAATGCAGACACCGAGGTCTCAAATCTCAAGAAATCGCTGCAAGAGCTTCGCAAAGTTGTGGAAGGCACCGGTGGCTTGACGACCCAGGCTCAGGCAATCTTCGAGCGACTGAACAACATGGAAGCCACTCTGGCCAGCGCTCGACCGCTCGACAGTGTGGAGCAGAGTATGGAGACAATAGAGACGACCATGGACAAGACCTCAGTCAAGACGCTGGAAAAGGCGGCGGAAAAGAAGGTCAAATCTCTGATAACGAGCGAACGCAAAGCTATAGAGAGGAATGTCGAGGAAGTGGACACCCGTCTCTCCCAAGAGATTTCGGATCTTCGCAAACTAACGGAAACTCGTATGGAAGCGATGCAAGCTCTCCGCAATCGATCGCGTGAACCCGATTTCGCGGGGTCGCCAGCTGATGCGAGAACAGCGCCATCCGAGATGAGCGATCTCAACACCATCACAGAGGATATTGAAACGCTGTTCAAGGAACTCGAGACTGCAAATGCCACTATCTCGGCTGTACAGGATGTCGCCCCCACCCTCTTCAACGAACAATTCGACCCACTCAAGCGCAAGGTTGAAGAGCAGCTCAGTACCGTCACTGCTACAATGGAAACCCATGCCCGCAATCTATCAGCTTTGACGGAACAAGTATCGAAGTCGCCTACACAACAGAATGGCTTAGGCCAAGCCCAACAAGCCCAGCTCAATACCATGTTGGCAGAAGTAGCGTCATTGAAGACGGACTTTGCGACTCTGCGATCGTCTCTGTCGACGAAGGCCGACTCTGCATCGGTGGAGAAAGACCTGGATACTTTCGGCTTCGCGATGCGCAATATAGAGAGCCGATACGAGAACATCAGCACCGACACCATGTATCAGGGCATGGTTCGCTGGTTTACCGAAATGTACCCCGGTCTGCCACGACTCCAGGAAGACATCCACCAAATGCAGAGATGGATACAGGGTCGCGCGAACCTTCTCGACCGCCTAGACCAGGACGCTACTCAACTGCATAATCTTGTGAACATCGCTCCGCACTTGCACGAAATTGCCAACATGAGTCCGCAATTGAAACAAGTGGCCACCGATGCTGCTCAACTCCAGTCGGCTATCCAGGCTCATGGCGAGATGGCGGGTGCGTTGACAAAAATTGATGAAGCTAGCTCTGACGCCAGCCTGGCAATCTCCAAGGCTGAGGAGGCCATGCGTGCAGCTAGCAAGGCCGAGCAAGCCAGCTCTGACGCAAAAGCCGCGAGCGACAAGGCCGAGCAAGCCTGCTCTGATGCAAAAACCGCGAGTGACAGGGCCGACCAGATTGAGCAACAGCTTAATGAGCAGATCAAGACGATCGAGAACATAAAGGGCTCAGTGTCTGGATTACAGATTTCTTTGCGGAATCTGCACTCAGCCACATCTCCCTTCGTCAAAGCGGAGGCTCCTGACGCCCTGCAGGCAACTGTCAAGACACTGCAGACCCAAATAGGTCAAGAAAAGCAAGAACGCTTGACCAGCACAGGAGAGCTTCGCACTGCCATCGACGCTGAACGTACCACACGCGTTGACGAGCAGGCTAAGACCAGAAAGTCCATCCAAGACCTGAGGCAAGTAATGGATGTGGACAGGGCCACTTTCGCAAAAGCTGACGTAGTGACTGCATCGGAGGGTACACTGCGAGCCTTCCAATCCGAGATCAGCGACACTCAAACGGCAAATTCCGAGGCCATTCAAATTCTGCGTTCAGCATTCGACACCGACTGCAGCAAGCGCGACACCACGGAGGGCAATCTCCAAAAGTCCATCAAGGAGCTGGCTCAGACGCCTGTCCGAGCGCCTACCCCAGACAATGCCCCCTTCGAAAACTTCAAGCGTATCGTTGTGGGCAAGCTTGCCTCTGAGAAGAAAGCACGTACAGATCTCGAGGAGCACGTGAAATCATCTCTCGGCATGGTTGATGGCAAGATCACAGCTCTACGGCAGGATACAACGAAGTACAACAACGAGGTGAAACGAGTCTCAAGTGACCATGACACCGCAAAGCAAGGGATCTATGACCAGCTCGCCGACATCAACACGGCGGCCGCCGAGTTGCGAGAAGCTTACGACAACACGGTCAAGACGTACATTGAGCCCAACAGCGAGTTCTTCGGCTTGATCGGTACAGCTTTCGTAGTCCTCTCGCAACTCCAACAAGTCGTCGAGAGCCTCAACCAGAACCTCCCAGTCGCTCCGTTGAGACTGGAATGGGACTACTATCTCCCCAGCCATGGCCAGCCCGAGACAAACGGCGAACCCAGCAACTCCAAAGGAAAGGGCAAGAGCAAGCAGTAAGCTGCCCCCTTATCGCTCGACCAACGTACACAAAGACCGACAACATTCTTTTGCCTGGGCCTTTGCCCTTGTCAACCCTTTTACTACTGTCTTACCACCCCCGGCCCGAACAAAAGTGCGCATCGACCTGGCGTTTTTTACCGGCGGATACTGTGAGCATTTTCATGCATGATACCCCCCCTATAGCCTGTGGCGGCTCATTTCTTTGTGTCTCTGAATTGCGTATTGCGAGTCTAATGAAGTGTTTTTTTCGATCCTTCTCATTCTAGTGGTGCGCAAATACTACTGTGTTTATGTATGTAAGTCCCGTTGAAGTTGGGCGTTTTGATTGTGTAAAAGTCCTAGCTGTCTAGGCATTCTGGTGGATATGGGGGTTTGAGATTCGAGAGAATGCGGATAGTGTGGAAGATGGAAATGATGATTGAGAGGTGGGGTGGATGTGGATGCGAACGTGGAAAAGGAGAGGATTTGGCGTTTGTAGTGGTAATGCGAGTGACGACAAAGTGTGGAATGGTTTAGAGACTGCTGTGCCGATGCTACGATTAAGCTTGTTTCGTTGTATATTATACTCCAGCCTCAAGGCATACACCTGCCATGTCGCGTAATGTGTCGGGGTGAAATGTGAAGTATGTCTAGTACAGATCAGCAAAAGCAGAGAAAATCTCTGCTCCCTAGAAACAGGCAACCGCGGCATCGGGGGACTCGCACTCATCGTTCAGCTGCCCTCGCTACCACACTGAACACACCCATTAAATTACAATTTGAACAACCCAAATCAGACATGTTGTAGCGAAAACAGAACGCCTTCGGCTGCTTTATACCTGGTGCTGTGCCCCAGGACCGTCCCTTGTGGCGCTTTCTAACCAAGGGACTGACCCGTGGACCCCTTTCTCATCCCTTCCAATATTTAAAGGGTGGATTTAGTCATCGTGAGTGGCTCGTCGTTTATGCGTCATCGCGTTACCATGGGATGGGATGGGACCAGATTCCGTCCCACGGACTGACCTCCAGCTATAAGTACCAGAGCGTGGAACATCTACTACACACATCCTTCCGTACTCCCCATCTCCTCAAAAGCCCTCGTCCTACAAATCACTCTACCTCCATCACACGCGCACATTTCAAACGATAATAATATCATGACTTTCGATTTGCTATTCATCAACCATTGTCAACGCTATGGATGTACTTTTTTCCTCATCTCGTACCCTCAGCTCCTCGTATCAACTCCAGTAACTCCCAACAGCCGTTTTACTGTGTCCAAAGTCCAACAGTCGTCCCCGTTATGTATACAGAATCCCAATCCAATAACAAGAAGGAAGAAGAAGGGAGAGGAACCAAAAAGTCCAGTCCAACCTCATGGGGTATCAGAATTTGCTTTCAAATCAACCAAATGAAAACCCACCCGCTAAAGTCAACAAGTGCAATGATAAAAACGCCAACAAGGAATGGATGTGGGTGTGTTTGTCTGCGTGGATGCAGACGTGAGGATGAACGCTCAGCAACACTCCTGATATCCACCTTTTTCACACAAACAGCCTCTCCCAAATGCCCTCTTCATCTCCTACTCAGGCCTCTCAAGATTAACCCTCAAACCATACTTCAGCCCCTCAATCTCACAGTACTCGGCCAAGAACCGCAGTCCAAATCGTACAGCTTGGATGGGCGTGGTATCGCAGCCCAGCGGCAAAAAGTACGGTCCTGACATCTTCGCGCCGCTGAGCTTCTCCGGTTCGCGGGCTAGTCTCGCATTCGACTCCCTTGCTGCATACGTCTTCTTGTATGTGGATTGCAGATCCTCAATCGGCAGCGCAATCCGCGCGTCTTGGTAGTGGCGATGCATTTTAATCGTGTGGTCAGACAGGAGGGCGAAGTTTTCTGCGAGCGAGTTGTGCTGGCGGGACGCTTCAGCCGTGCTACCACCACTATGAGTCACGCCATCTTGAGGCGAGTCGTGCGTTTTGGGGTTGTTGCAGCGCTGGGAGACGTGTGTGCAGATTGCGGCGGCGATTACGGAGCTGAGGTAAGAGCGGAGGCCGTCGAGGTGTTGGAGGTCTTTTGTGCTGCGCGAGTAGGAGAGGCAGAGGGGGAGGAGCGTTTTCCAGGTTTGTTCTACTTCGCCGGGGCGGCCGCGCATGTGGAGGGAGAGGTCTTGGGCGAAGTAGGCGGCCATGTAGGCGCTGGGTGGTGTTAGTGGGGTTCATAATGGACAGTTGAGTGTTGGGTCTTGAACTTACAGAATACACTCAAGGTTAGTAACTGCAGCCCTCTTTTCGTCCTGTTTCGAAATCTTGCCGCTGGTGAGGATCTTGGTGGCTTCATGCTTAAGGGCTCTACCCATTTGATTCCACCTTGCCGACGTATGGCCCAGCAGCGAGATGTCTGCCTGCTTCTTGTTGTTAAGAGGAGCAGATGTAGGTTTCGCGCCGGCTGGGGTTGCGCCAGACCGACCGGGCGTTGCGTCATTGCTCTCGGAAGACTGGGTTCGTAACATGTTGACTGATTTGAGGTCCTTCTTAGGGGTTGCGTATTGCGTCTGGCTGTTTTGGAGAGGGGTAATGGGCCGGTCTTGGGTTGAGCCTGCTCTGGGTCGCTTAGTGGGCGGTACCGCCAATGTTGTCTCCTCTTCCGCGCGCGGCCGCTTCTCTGCAACTTTTGATGGTGTTGTAGCTTGTCGTGCAGCGACCTTGGGAATTGCCTTCTTCTTAATGACGGGCGGATCCGTGACCTTGGGCTGCGTGTCTGCCATATGAGTCGCCTTGGAGGTATCGTTGCGCTCCTTTTTCTCGGCATTCGCTCGTTTCGATGGTAGGCGGAGAATCTGGCCAACGACAGGCGCCTTGGTCTTTGAGAATTTCAGCTTAACTACCATACTAGAATCTGTTTGTTCGGCTTGACTGACTGGTTCGGGGTTGGGCGATTTGCCGTTGCCGTTGATGGAAACTGAGCGCGCTCGGTTCTCTGACTTTGGTGTACCGTTGGACTGTTGAGATGCGCTGGGTGGCACAGCAAGTGTCTGACTCTTGCGATCTGAAGATGACACAGATGCGTCGGAATCTATGCGTTTCCGCTGTACTTCCATTCTGTCGAGCTCGGCCTGTATGTTTGATGGGAGGGTAGGGGATAAAATGTTCGGAAGGCCGTATGGGTTGCCCATTGGTTCGTGTACTGGCGAAAGCAGCGGAGGTAGGCCGTGTGGTGTTGAGTTGGAAGGGTCCGATTTTTCGATCTTGCCCTTGGAGCTGGTAGTCTCGCTCTTGGTTGTAGAAGGGGCTCGCGGCCGATTAGAAGAAGGGGCGCCTCTGTCGGCTTTCCGGATGGGATGCTCGTCGCGTGTGGTACCAGAGGATCTGCTACTGTCAGTAATTGAACAAGATGTAGAGCGGCGTACCCACGGCTTCGGCGACTTGGGCTCGGTCTTTTGGGACGGCGCAGACAGTTTTTCAGACTTGCTGGCCCCATTCGCCTGTTTCTTGTCCGCCGCAGAGCTGGGCGAGCTAATCTTGACGCTGGGCGTGCTGGGACCGTTCGCTTGCTTGACCTTGAAGGCTGAGAGGTTGGGTTTCTTCTTCGCTGGCTGGCCATTCGCGGCCTGTGAGCGTAGTGGTTCGGGCTCGGGCTCGTCGTCTTCTCCCGCCTGCAACTCGAAGCAATCCTGACACGGCTCGCGATACAGATATGTCCTGTACTGCAAGTGCTCCTCCTCGGACTTGAATAGCCTTCCCAGTTTCCAGGCGTTGGCTTGTTGTTGTGAGTAGTACCGGTACGGATGTAAGGATGGCGTGGAAAGTATGTATGGTGTGCGCGGGACCGCCGTCTTTATGCGCTTGAAGATGCTGTCGAGGGCGTCGAGCTCGCCTTGGTCGTCGGCAGAGAGTTGCTTGCGCTTGAGGGATCGCGTCGTATCCACGATGGGCTCAGATTGGTCTGGGCCCGACATGGCGTGTTACCTCAGGGTCTCGGGCGTGCAGTCGGTCGCGTATAGCAGCGGTGTCGCGGGCCGACGGCGGTAGGTGCAGTGGAACGACGTGTGGAGGTGGAGGAGCATTAGGTGAGGCGCTCGAGCGGGGATGGGGTTATGGCAGCGCCGTGGACGCGGTGTGAGGGCGGAATCGAGTCGGGACGCGCGTGGACAATAGCAGGGCGACAATCGCTTTCTCTTCACATGTCGTCAGTACAATAGACCCACGTGAGCGCGCATGTGGATAGCGCGGGCTCTCCTCTCTCACTCACCCAGACTGCTGGCGCTGCTACCTCTGGTCGCTTGGGCAGTAATGGGACATCGCTCGCGCGCCGTGTCTATGATAGCGCAGCGACTCGGTGCGTGAGGCCAGAAAAACGGCAATCTCGTGTTTGCGACAGCGCTGCGGTCAAGGGCGACATGTCGAGGTGGACATGGCTTGGCGGGAGGCTTCTCCCGCGCGCTTCAGCCCTGGCTGCCGGAGACGCCTGCATCGTCCATTGGCTGCTCTTTGCTCCGAAGGCACCACATCACTGGAATACCCACATCGTCTGGACTACAGTCTAACTTGGGCAGCCTTCTTCCATCGCCTTCATCACGCGGGAACTCGAGTCTTATTCACTTCAAGCCCTGATATGTTTCCACGCGGCTGCTCGGGACGTCCCTGTTATTCAGTGGTCCCGAATGATCGGCAAGGATGACATCAACGCGATCCGACTCCACGCATCCATGTGTGCATCGCATCACATATATGACCACCGGGCTGCTGTCGGGACAACCTACAAAGGGTCCAGCCATGTCTTGCTTCTCACAGTCATGACAGATTTCACGTCGCGCATTCTGTCAAAATTAGTACTATTGATGTTTGGACTAAGGAGGTTGCAGATCCCGTTTCACACCATCACATGCACCACCGGCAGAAGGAAGCACGTGTCGGCGATAATTCCAAAGTCTGATTCCTGAACCAAATGTCCTTCATGGCATTAATTAGAGTTTCTCGATGCAGGTCGCCTCCCGAAGTCTCGCCAAAAGGAACACG